TATATATATATATATATATATATATATATATATATATATATATACACGTGTGTGTGTGTGTGTGTGTGTGTGTGTTTTTGCCTATATATAGTCACCAAAATATATTTCTATATATTTTCTAAAATATACATTATCAAAAGTGCAATCTTCTAATTTATTATAGATTTTATTTAAATTTTCAAATGCCAAAATATATTACAAAATGTACTTCAAGGGGCATGAAAATACATTAAAATATTAATTTACCAACATTAAAACATTTGATAAATGCAACTATTTTTTTTTATAAAAATAATATTACAAATATATTTTAAAAATGACAGCCAAATATAGGAGTAAATAAGTAACTAAAACATATGGAAAATATATTTATGGATTTGTTTTTTATCTTAAAGGGTTGCAAAGCCAGTGGTTGATTTGTAGGCAAACATCAATGCCTTGAATTTTATGCTGCTTTTATCTTATATTAGCAAACAAAATTGGCAATTTTTATAGAATTTTGAAATATATTTATATTTTAAAAAATAATAATTTTGGCATACGGTACTGCAGTACAAGTTGATCCTTACAAAAAATATTGTTACCAAAGGTTGTTTGTCAACATCTCCTCTGTCTCACAACTGAATGACTTACAATTATTTACTAATGAGCAGTTTGCAGACTGTGGCCAGCCATCTGTCACTAGTGAGTGTGAGGACAGTATTGTTGTATTATCTGTCAAAATGTTCATCAGTGAAGTGTGCACAAGAGCTGATCCATTGCTGATGAGGGCTGATCTGACTCCCCCCGCCAGGGATGGATAAAAATGTAACCTAATTTAATTGTCAGTTTCACTTTGCAGCTTCTTTGCAGTATTTGTTGGTGTAAATCTTATATTATTTTCTGTGCTTAATACAGCAGCTTCCCACATAAGCGAGTGTGTGTTATTCCTCTGTGGGCTAATTGTTAACAGATTAAAACTGTGATTCGTGTAGATTCCAAAATGTGAAACGTCCACACAAATATTTTTGTGAAAAAAAATAACGCATATTAACTTTTATTTTCAATTATCTCTTAATCCAGATTTAGTGTCTTTATGCTATAAAAGCTGACCACGTCTGGTTGAATTAAAAAAGGTAACACTTTGCAATAAGGTACCATTATTTAACATTGTGATTGATGATCAGCTGAATTTCACAGACCACAATGCGAAAAAAACTCCCCAGTCCTGCAGATTTGCCTTATACAATATTAGGTAGATCAGGCCCTTTCTGTCGGAACATGCTACACTCCTTGTTCAAGTTATTGTTCTATCCAGGCTAGACTATTGCAGCGCTCTCTTGGCAGGTCTTTCAGCCAGTTTTATCAAACCTCTACAACTAATCCAGAATAGGGCTACAAGATTAGTCTTTAACGAGCCAAAAACAGCACGTCACACCTCTGTTCATCAGTTTGTACTGGCTACCAAGGCTATTCAAGGCATTGATGTTTACCTACAAAACAACCACTGGCTCTGCACCCCTTTACCTAAATTCACTACTTCAGAATTATGTGCCCTCCATACGCTTGCATTCTGCATGTGAACGGCGCATTATAGTGTCATCCCAAAGAGGCACAAAATCACTTACACTGACTTTTACCTTTGCTGTTCCCTGCTGGTGGAATGACCTGCCCAACCCGATCCGAGCAGCTGAGTCTTTAGCCATCTTCAAGAAACATCTAAAGACACATCTCTTCCATCTACACTTGACCCTCTAACACGAGAACTCTCTATTCAATTTCTATACTATCGACTTGTTTTCTTTTTCTTTTACTAAAAAATGATGGAATTAACCTTAACTAAGATTAATACATGCTAGATAAATAAAAGTATTTTTATTGTTAGTTCATGTTAACTAATGTAGTTAACTAATGTAACAAATGAAACCTTATTGTAAAGTGTTACCAAAATAAAAATAGATGTAAACTGATTGAAATTAATCAATTATCTGTTGTACAGGTAAAAGTAATAATTGTTTGCTTGTTTCTTTGTTTGTTTTTTCATTTAGACAATTTATGTCTAACCACAGTCATATAGTGACTAGTTCACTATAGGACACATAATGTTCTGCAAAATAATACATCTTCTCAACATTTTTCAGACTTCTGATGGTATTCAACCCTGATGCTATTATTGGGTTTGCATTGAGATGGATTTGTGGATTTTATTTAATCTGAGTAACGGTCATCGAAATTTGAGTGTTTCCATGAACATATTTGAGTGCAGACACAAGCAAATCACTGAATCAGTATTTTGAACTGATTCATTCAAACTAACAATCTGCACGTTTTCTGCTAAGGTTTAAATAAGATGTACTGATAAAACGTCTCTCTTTTAGTGCTCTCATAGCACAAAAGAACAAGTGAGAAATTTCCTACTTGTTGGTTAATATTGGCACCAAAATAATATCAAATGTATATAGCAAATATTCGCCCAACTGTAATTTTGCAATATGTTTTAATGTGCTGTAAAGACATCTTTTTAAAGGGAGTGGCACCTTTGCTTTGGAAATTTTGTTGTCTTTTTTTTTTTTTTTTTTTTTTTCCTGCAGCAGCAGTGGGCAGAGGGAGGCTGACCTGCTGGGGTCAGTGTGTGGGTTTACTGAGCTGTTCAGCTCTTTTCCATGAGATGATTCAAGCTGCTACTAACATGCTCCTCTATGCTTCCCTCCCATTGCTTTTGCCTCCAAGGACAAGTTATGAAAGCCTCTCCTTACCTACCATGAGAACAAAAATGATACCTCCCACACACTGCTGAGTTGTGTAACATTTAGCGCTATGAGTTTAGGAAGTGTTTGAGAACATATAGATGGAGTGGACGCTGAAAAGTGTAGTTTCTTTTCTTTCTTTTTTTTTTGTCTGTATGAAAGAGGTTTTAAGGAGAAGGCAAGACTTGTTGTCAACCAGAGATCCCTTTAATGCTTAATGGTGAAACTTTGGAGCACATACATCTCATGGAGAGGTTTATTATGAGTCTGTCACTGTACTGTCACTATGAAATACTGGCCTGCTGTGTCCTCAAGACCTAATTTATAGAGTAACCTGGTCATAACTACTGGGCTTTGCCTGTTATGTGGGTCAGTTTGGACAGGGAGCCTCCCTGACCGTCTCTCAAGGGAGTTTGTTCTATAAAAGAGCCATTCATTACTCTCTTGTCTCTTGCACACTTTGCAGCGATGGTTGGGCAGACCGCTATGATGTCACTGACGGCTTCCAGAGGGAGGCAGCGGGGGGAATTACTATCAAGCTGCAGTCTGCTTATGTCACATGGTTTGATGATTACTACCTGAACCTGAAGCCGGATACGAACCTCCAGAACCCCTGGTTTCCGGAGTTCTGGCAGCACCGCTTCCAGTGCCGGCTGAAGGGACATCCTCAAGAGAGCAACAAATACAACAAGACCTGCACCAGTGAGTGGAAGATGATCTCACACGATCTCCCATGTCACACCCACAGCTTACATGATTTTAGGGCAATTTATCTGAATGTCTGTCTTTTCATCAGTTCATCCATCCCTTCGTCTATCCATCAATCCATCTATTTATCCATCCATTCATGCACTTATGAGCTCATCTATTCATTCAACTGTTTACTCATTTATCCATCTATTCATCCAACTATGGATCCATCTATCCATCAATCCATCAAATTATCTATTCATTCATCTATACATCATCCATCCATCAATCTGTCAATCTGTTCATCTTTGTCCTTCCAATACTTTCTCTTTTTCATCCATCCATACATTAATCTTGCATTCCATCATTTAATCTAAATGTGCTTGACACTTTATGACAACCAGTTCAACTCTTTTGCATTTAATGACTTATACGATGAACTAAAGACTAGATGTTTTGAGGGGTAAGACTATTGCACAGAAAACTATATAATACATTTTGAGCAACATTACATTAGCAACTGATCATGTAGGAAACCGCAGATAAATGTACATAATCAATTGCATGAATGTACCAAAGCAATCGCAGCTTGTTCAAAATAATGAGAAACTGCTTTTATGATGTGTACAAAATGACCAGATGATGTGGAAGTTGTACAAGTAGTTTTGAGAATTTCATTTCTGATTTGAGAAATGCACCAAAGCGACTTAGGAATTAGGAAAATAGTGTCAATAATGCAAAATGACAATAGTAAACACTCATTTTTCAGTTAAAGACAGTTCATCATTCAATTCAGTGATGTCATCATCCAGCTCAGTTCAGTTTAAATAGTATCTTTGCAATCATTTGCAATCAAGTCACCGATATCGCTGGAAATGAAGTGTCCCCAACTAAGCAAGCCAGAGGCGACAGCGGCAAGGAACCAAAACTCCATCGGTGACAGAATGGAGAAAAAACCTTGGGAGAAACCAGGCTCAGGCGGGGGGGCAGTTCTCCTCTGACCAGACGAAACCAGCAGTTCAATTCCAGGCTGCAGCAATTCATGTATACATCATTCATATATTAATCTGTCAATATATTCATCCACCTATACATCCATTTGTCTTTCCACTGCTTCATCTACCCATCCATACATCCAAATATCTATACATCAATATTTCATTCCATCAATTCATCTATTCATTCATCTATTCATCATCCATTCAGTCACCCATCCCTCCATCCATCTATAAATCCATCCATTTGTCTATCCATCCATTTGTCCTTGCACTACTTCATCTATTCGTCCATCCATCCATCCATCCACCTATCCTCAGTGGTGTAATGTAACAAAGTAATAATACTTAATAATAATGTCAACTTCACTACTTCATCTATTCGTCCATCCATCCATCCATCCACCTATCCTTCATTCCATCATTTCATCTATTCATTCATGTATACATCACCTGTCAATCTATTCATCCATCATTTGTCCTTTTACTGCTTCATCTACCCATCCATTTATCCATCCATTTGTTTGTCCTTCCACTACTTCATGTATTTGTCCATCCATCCATCCATCCATCTATCATTCCATAATTTAATCTATTCGATTGTATGCATTATCCATATGTCAATCTGTTCATCCATCATACATCCATTTGTCCTTTCGCTGCTTCATCTGCCTGTCCATCCATCCGTCTTTCATTCCATCAATACATCTGTTCATTCAGGTATTCATAATTTATTCATCTAGCCATCCATATTTCCTTCTACTATTCATCTATTCATCCATCTGTCCATTTATCATCTATCTAATAGTGAATCTATTAAATCAACAAAAATGTAATCAAAAGAATTGCATAATATCAGTATATGCTGAGAAAAGCCCCTAAATGAAGATAAAGACATTACTGCGGCAGATGAAAGCACTGAATAGATACTACAAAAAGAGGCTTTAGAACTCAATATATTGTTTGTTTTCACTACACGTCTCATAGAGAAAGAGTCGCTCCGACACCAGTACGCTCAGGATACGAAGATGGGCTTTGTGATCAATGCCATCTACTCAATGGCTTACGGACTGCACGCCATGCAGAAGTCTCTGTGTCCCGGCTACGCCGGTCTGTGTGAAGCCATGCGGCCGATTGATGGAGGTAAACTCTTAGAATTCCTCATGAGGACAAACTTCTCTGGTGTCTCGGGAGAACTGGTGCTGTTTGATGAGAATGGAGACTCCCCGGGGAGGTAGGAATCTTTCATATTCTGCTCCATACGCAAGTCAGAATGTGCTTCTAAACTCCTTTTAAAGAGAATGAAAAAAGTCTCTCGTTGATGTCATTGTGATTTTCAGAAATATCTTCCTTTAGACTGAATGACTTTATGAGCAAAACATGAATGACCCTGGGTTAACCGTTTCACGCTTGTAACAGTGAATTTACGTGTGTTTTTATAGGTATGAAATCATGAACTTTAAACAGATGAGTGAGGAGGACTATAGCTACATCTACGTGGGCAGCTGGGACAACAGTGGGCTGAAGATGGATGACGAGGAGATTTGGGCAAACAGCAGTGCCATCATCAGATCAGTGTGCAGTGATCCTTGTGAAAAAGCTCAGATAAAGGTGAAAAAGGAATCATTTGAGAAGAAAATGTGTTATGTCAGTGTAAATGTGTCATTATTGGAAATGCAGTTTATTTAAGTGTTAATGTGCTTGTTTATTTTACACTACCATTCAAAATTTTGTGGCCGGTAAATTTGTTTGTTTTTTTATGTCTTTTATGCTCACCGAGGCTGATTTGATTTAAAAAAAAAAAGTGAAATATTTTTACAAATTCAAATAACTGTTTACTGACCCCAAACGTTTGAATGGCAGCATATATTTTTTAGTTTAACTATTAAGATGTAATATCCACCTTATTTTTCAACAGGGAAATAAGCTGTTTTGTGTGAATGTGTGAGACTTCCGGTTCATTAGCCACTGTAGGGAAATAACGAGAAGAAAAATAAAGTTCAGTAAACAGTAAAACTGTTTGCACTACAAACCAGTGTGTTCATAATTAAGATAATACATTAGATGTTGGACAATGTTAACATTTAAATAAGTCAAACCAGTGAGAAAGTCCTTCTCTTAAAATGCTACATTTATTCAATCAGAAATATAAAAAAAAAAGTGAAATATTTTTACAAATTCAAATAACTGTTTACTGACCCCAAACGTTTGAATGGCAGCATATATTTTTTAGTTTAACTATTAAGATGTAATATCCACCTTATTTTTCAACAGGGAAATAAGCTGTTTTGTGTGAATGTGTGAGACTTCCGGTTCATTAGCCACTGTAGGGAAATAACGAGAAGAAAAATAAAGTTCAGTAAACAGTAAAACTGTTTGCACTACAAACCAGTGTGTTCATAATTAAGATAATACATTAGAATAATGTGGTAAGACACACCAGTTTGCAATATCAAGCAGCAAAAAGAGCTGTTTTGTACAGCTAAAAATAGCTGGAAGCGGATGAGACCAGAACCCAGACACATTAAATTTACAAATGATCATGCCTGCTCTTACGGGAAAAATAAGGTGGATAGACGTTTTTGAAAGACCTTAAACCAAAAGTTTTGACCTGTTATCTCAAACCATGTATCTTAATGGGCAGAGATGTTTTCTAACCAATCAGACATGAAAATTTCTTATAGCAGATGATACATGTTTGAAAAAATCCCATTGACTTATACTGATACAGAAGCCTAAGCCATATTTAGAGAGCAGATTATCATATAAACTTGGAGGTAGAACCTTAAGCACCCACAACACCTTAGCAACCACATGGCAACCACTCAAAACACCTAAGTAACCACATAGCAATGTACTAAAAACCACTTATAACACTGTACCAACCGCCCACAACACTTTTGCATTGTGGTGGCAGCTTTGAGAGCTAAAGTATTTTCTTCACAGAAATCTATATCTTACATAACTTGACCTCTCTGTTCTGACCACCTCAGGTTATCCGTAAGGGTGAGGTGAGCTGCTGCTGGACCTGCACTCCATGTAAAGAAAACGAGTTTGTGTTTGATGAATACACCTGTCGTATGTGCGTGCTTGGATCCTGGCCTACAGATGACCTCACAGGTGAATCTACATCCACCTTCAGAGCAAAATGTAGTTCTTCTTGTAGTTCATCCAGAAGTCATAACCGTTGTTTACCCATGATTCTAAACTTCTTAGAGCAGCCACATAAGCTTATCATCTCATACAGCAGTGTGTGATATAAGTATCTGGGTCACTGAATAACATAGGGGACCCATTTATCTCTTAGAGCGTTATTTGAAAATCTGGACCATGGCAACTTAATGCCAAAAACAGAGATTTGGACTTGGCGGGTGTCCCCATCAGAATGTTCCAGAATTGCTGTCAAGCGTAAGCCCTGAAGCAGCAGTCTCTCAGCATGTAGTGCATTACTGAGAGCCGAGGCCGCTCTGCTGTTCATGCAAGAGCCTTAATGCCAATTTTCGACATTTAGTAGCAGGTGGTTTTGAGTTTGACTACCTGCAATTCTTTTTTTTAATTTAGTAGTTTTTGGATTTTATACCAATGTTTACAGCATTTATGCACTGTACAACGACTCTATAACAGAGATGGTGCACTTTTAGATATATAAATAGGAGAAATTAAAATGTTCACAAGTCCCAACAGTTAAAACATCCAATCACCTTATTTAAGCTTAAATCACACTAAAAACGGTCTTTTTCAGGATGGTCCAATTAATGTGCAAATGCTAATACTCATATTTAAGAGCAAACAGTAACACTTTATAATAATCTTCAATACTTTAACATTAGTTAATGCATTAGATATCATGAAGTAACAATGAGCAACATTAGTAATTAATAAATACATGTATTGATCTTAGTAAATGTTCATTTCTACATATGCATACATTTCAAGTATTAGTAATTGAATGAACATGAATTTACAATAAAGAATAGTACAGTATATTCATAAATTAACATTAATCTAGATCAGGGTTTCCAAACCTGGGAATTCATGAAAAGCTAATGAATATATTGAAATAATTAAAATGAAGATTAAAATGAATAAATAATTTTAAAAAATGTAAACAAAATTTACAATTTAAAAACTTTCTTATGTACTAAATATAATTTGTTTACCTGCATGTCATATGACCATTAACAATATCAGATTACTGTGAACATGCAAATATGTTACATTATTGAAATATTAACTTATCTCAGGGGAGTACTTATAGAAAATATTTGAGGTCAAAAGTTTTAGGCTAACAAAAACGTTGGGAATCCCTGATCTATATTAATAAATGTAAAAATGATTGGTCATTGTGAGTGCATGATACATGCTTCTCTTAATTCAAACTAATTCTGCTGATTGACGAATTGAACCTTATTGTAAAGTGTTAACATTTATACTTGAATATGAGCATTAATGCATGTGCTTTAGCTGAACCAGCCTAAAAAATACTTTTTTTAGTGCTTAAGAAGCACAGCTTATGGTGCAGCTGGTATCATATTTTATTCCTGATTGAAACATGTTACTGAAGTGTAATGTTGACAAACATTTACAGAGATTTCAGAGCATGACCAAAAATAGCTGTCCAGGGGCATTACAGAGATGGCTGCCCAGTATGCCCACTTGCCCTAAAGGCACTTTCACAAAAACCTTTGTTAATCATGGCCATCACTTTCCGGAGTAGCTCTTGGTGTTGCTAGTTTGTGAATCTGACCTGTAAAAACCAAACCTTCAGTGTCATCTATCCAACCTCGTTAAAAGCTATCCAAATCAAGATTCAGTTTCATCCTCTGTCTGTTGATGCAAATTGCACATGCTAAATATATCAGTGCTTGTTGTCAGCCTCTAATGCATAATGCATGGCGCTTGGTTGAACGGATGGTTTTGTTTGTTTTTGCGCATTTTCTTTTTTCTATTTGTTTTTATAAAGTTGCACAGTAATTCTGCATAATGATGGCTGTTCTCTGTACAATTTTTAATGTCACACATCAGTGATTCTAAATAATCATAGACATGGGCACTATACAGAATAGCTAAATTATGATAAATATTGTTTGCACTGCACATAGATCTTAATGCGGTATAACTGCAACCCCTGAAGTGGAAACATTTTATTTAAAGTTCCAGGGGCACTTTAAACAGCGATGCCTTATTTCTTACTCAATAAGTTCAAAAACGTGGATTCATTCAGTATCGAAACACTGCTGTGTGTTGCTAAAAAAAAAGCAAAACAGTTCTGCTGTGGCTTTGTTTTTTTTTGTTGGCAAAACTGAACAAAACCAACAATATTGTGTGTATAATTTAACACAATATTACTTTGTTTATTGAATTGTTGTATAAAATCAATTGCAATCGTGCAGACATTTAAGGAAAAACATTCTTGCTTGTGTGATATTCCTAAACTACATCAAATGATAAAAATATAAGACAAAAACCTATATGTGGCAATTTTTGCCCTCATATCTTTAATTTTAGGGACATATAACTGCATTCTAATAGGCTACATCACGCAGTCAGTCGTCGACCTGCATCATGTTCGCCACATAATCAACTGCATGCAATGTAAGATTACATACAGGTCTGGGTGTTAAATGCATTAATAATTTTAACATTCTTTTTTCCATAATAAATCGCACCAAATGAATGTGTTCATTTGTAATTACTAGTAATTACATTAACGTCTTTTCAAATTCATGTCCCTCAGGCTGTGAGCCAATCCCGGTGCAGTACCTTCTGTGGGGAGATCCTGAGCCGATCGCAGCTGTGGTCTTCGCCTGCCTTGGCCTGCTCGCTACCATCTTCGTCACTTTAGTCTTCATCAGGTTCCACGATACGCCGGTGGTGAAGTCCTCCAGCAGAGAGCTGTGCTTCATCATCCTGGCTGGCATCTGTTTGGGGTACCTGTGTACGTTCTGCCTCATCGCCAAACCGCACGTGGCCTACTGTTACTTGCAGAGGTTGGGAATAGGGCTCTCGCCCGCCATGAGCTACTCCGCTCTGGTCACCAAAACCAATCGCATTGCTCGCATCCTTGCGGGCAGCAAGAAGAAGATCTGCACCAAGAAGCCTCGTTTCATGAGCGCCTGCGCCCAGCTGGTCATCGCCTTCATCCTGATCCTGATTCAGCTGGGCATCATCGTGGCGCTCTTCATCATGGAACCTCCGCAAGTGATCTACGACTATCCGTCCATACGCGAGGTGCACCTCATCTGCAACACTACCACGCTCGGCGTGGTGGCACCGTTGGGCTACAACGGGCTGCTCATCCTCAGCTGCACCTTCTACGCCTTTAAGACCCGCAACGTCCCCGCCAATTTCAACGAGGCCAAATACATCGCGTTCACCATGTACACCACCTGCATTATCTGGCTGGCTTTCGTGCCAATTTATTTCGGTTCAAACTACAAGATAATCACCATGTGTTTTTCTGTTAGCCTCAGCGCCACCACTGCGCTGTGCTGCATGTTTGTGCCCAAGATCTACATCATGTTGGCCAAACCTGAGAGGAACGTACGCAGTGCTTTCACCACATCGACGGTTGTGAGGATGCACGTGGGTGACGGGAAAGCTGCCTCGGCCGCTAGCCGATCTAGCAGCTTGGCTAACCTGTTCAGACGACGATGCTCTGGCACAGACACGGTCAGGTCAGTATGAGGGCAGTGTTATTTTAGTATGATTTATATGCTATTATAGTTGTATGATATTGTTTAATATTTTAAATTAGCTTGTATTTTTATATTTTCAGTTTTAAAATTTTGAATTTAAGGATAATGAGGCATGACGTGTCAATTATTTTTCATGTCAGTTTTAAAAAATCCTTATTTTTACCTCTTTATAATAAGATGATGTGCAGTCACAGCTCTCAATTGCAGAAGAAGCCGCTTCTGACAAAATAAATATATAAATAAATAAAGCTCATATTAAATCTGTTTATCTCTCCGTAATGCCTGCCAAAGGTTTGCTTTTGAGGATGAAAATGAGTTTAGACTGAAAATGAATCAACTCCCCAACTGAGCATATTTTAGAGCACATAAAAAAAAAGCCAGTATTCCCCTCGAAAGAGAAAAAAGAGCCCAACCAATTACCCTGTATGCCTGAATCATTCCTGGAGCAACTCCGGAGTTATGCACATTTGGGTCGATGGGTCCCCAGGTGCATTAGGAGAACTGAAGTTAGAGATTTCCTGTCTGATGTACAGGATTGGATGAGGGTGGTAACTGCACTTGGAATGGGTGGATTGGGATGTCTAATGGCAGGGTCTATTCTCTCTTGCCTTTAAGCTGTAGTGTTACACACTAACAAGGGTGTAGCAGCAGAAGGGGGAAGGTCTCTCTTCACTGTTTTGAAATAGGTGATTCTGTGGCCTGAATAAATCCATACTAAGTCCATAAATGTAGTCTAAATTTCTGTGTTGGAAAGGCAGATAGTTTCTCAATTGATATATGCTGGCATGTCCTTTAGCATCATTTACATGACAGTCAAGTCACTTACTATCATCACACAGAGGCATAAAACACTCTATTCATTCTTATTGTTAATAAGAATCGGTGTTCTGCAGAGTTTAACTCCAACCCTAATCAAACACACCTAAACCAGCTAATAAAGGTCTTATTAGGTATACTTCAAACTTCCAGGCAGGTGTGTTTGATTAGGATTGGAGCTAAACTCTGCAGGACACTGGCCCTCCAGGAGCGAGTTTGGTGACCCCTGCATAAAACACTCTGTGTTGTTATGTGGGTATGTAAATGGTGTTTTGCAATAAATTATTTTTTTCAAAAATGTTTTCAATTTTTTCACTTTTTCTTCTTATATCTTTTGGTGATTATTATTAGTAGCCATATCAGCTCTTTTTTTTCAGACATATATATATATGTATGTATATGTATATTATTGAAATGTATACAAGGTTCATTAACATAATTAACAATTAATATAAAAATATATACATTTTTGGTAAATGTTATAAAAAAAAAAATATATATAGTATTTTAATATATTTTAAATATATATGGAGTTTAACATTTAACAGTAATTTTTTTAATTTTTCTGTTAATTACGTTACATTTTAGTAGTATTTTAATCAACAATTACCCTTGCACACTTGCAGGTAATCGATTGGTGCATAGGAAAAACAACCAAAAAAAAACAGGTCCAACTTAAAAACAAAAAAACAATAAATCACACACACTATCTGCACTTCCAAATGTATCAAAATATAAATGTATTCACTCACAATGTCGGTGGGAGTAGCAGGGCTTCACCCGCCAGTCTTTTTGACAGCACCTACGACTCTTCGTGTGCGGTCAGGACCACTGATTTTGAGGACCTGGGCGCCTTGACACCACCTTCGCCGTTTAGAGACTCCTCCGTGGACTCGATCAGCGAATCTCCCACATCGCCAGCCTCAGAGCTGCCATTGTGTGAGCCCTGCTCTCCAATATACGACCAGCTGGTGCTTCGGCACTACAGCCAGAGCTCCTCTTCGCTCTGAGAGATTATTCAGAGCGCAGGAAGGAGACCGAGAGGCAGCTACTGAGATCATGCATCTGCTTAGATTGCAAAACCCAGCTGTAAATGTCAAGGAGTGTAAACTCTTAATATAGAAGCACTCGCTGAAGACATTTTATGGTGCTTGGAATCCAGCCCGTCCTCAAAATCCCAATCTGTGTAGGGGAAGGCACTTCACCAAACTGCTTTTCAGATAATTAAGGATGTACTTGATATGCTCTTGTGCACTAGAGTGCTCTGACAAGTTTATGGTCCTTCTTGGCAAGAAGTTACTGATGTTGGTCAGTTTGTGTTCTGCAAGTTTTCCTGGATTTAAAGCCACTAATAACATTCCAACGACGTCAATCTACACGGGTGTGAAAAATTACGAAACTAATGCTCCAGGATGTCATTTTTATCTCTCTTGTTGTCTGTCAGCAAGATGAACTTCTTGCACGGTTCTTCACATACAACGGAAGTGCAAATGGTTGAATGTAGGACCAAATTAAGCCTTTGAGTGCAAAGTAGTTTGTTTAAATATTGGTCATTTTTCTTATTTTCGTAGATTAGAGGTTGCATGTTCTGCCACTTCATATAACTTAAAATAAAATAGTATTTATTATTATATTTTTCATAATAAATCAAATAGAAGGGATGTGAGGGCAGGTTTATTTAGGTATTGACCAAATCTAACACTTTAATATAGACAATATGTCTTTCAGATGACTGGATATATTAATTTATTTGAACATGTCCCAGTATTACTTAAATGTTTAATAATAAATCACTTTAATTTGAAAGATGGAATTTGAGAAAATTATACAAACTAATAGGAGATAAGAGAAAACAACTATTTACACTACCACTTAAAGGGTTGGGTTCAGTAAGCTTTTTTGAAAGAAATTTATACTTTTATTCAGCAAGGATGCATTAAATTGACCAAAAGTGTCAGTAAAGACTATAACATTGTTTTTTAATCAAATAAATGTAGCCTTGGTGAGCATAAGAGACTTATTTTAAAACTTTTTGTTTCAAACTTGCTGACCCCAAACATTTGAACAGTTATGTAATATAAAGCAATATATAATGCAGGGCCTATTCCAAAAATATAATTATTCCATTTGCAAATCATTTCCTTTTTTAATCCACTTAGGCTTTTGTTCCAAATCCATACATACAGAAGATGAGCCAAAAACAAAGTTCCCATTGTTGTTACACTGTGGACATGATTCTTACACACAGGGCATTACAGTTTTCATTGACAAAGCCTATAAACCACATGAAAGTCTCCAATTAAAGATAGGATTTTTGTATGAACTTATTTAAGTTGAACTGTTTAGACTTGGTAGGAACGCACATTGTACCTACCAACAGACATCTATTCTTTTAATCAATGTGCAGTATTCTTCTTGAATAGGTGTAATGTACTAAGGTCACATGTGTGCATGCAAAGCAGTGCCATTAGCTAAAATAAGTGCTTAATGTTCTTTTGAGAACTTTTGTACATTTTCTAAAAGTCTTTTGCATTTTTTGCTCTTTGCCTTTTCTGATAAGACATTCGTAGAATGTAGATTTCAGCCTTGTGTGTGTGATGTATTTTTCTACTAACTTGTGCTGGTTCAATATGACGGTCATAGTGGATTAAGCTTTGTGACAGTGGGACGAATGTAGCTTGCAATATTTCTGTTACTTCAAGGTTTTATTTATGGTGTGGATAAGCCTTTTTTATTTCTTTTCAAAGCGTGTAAAAATATTGGTTTTACCTGAGTGTTATTAAAGGGGACTCAATTACAAATATTGTTTCTTTTTTTTTTTACTTTAATCATTTAATCAGACATATATACAGTATATATATAATTTTTTTTTTTTCAGTGTGAATACATGGATATAATCACAAAATGAGGTCTTTGGAGATGCTGTGTTCCATGACTGGAGTTTGCGTGGTTGTGTTATTTTCACAGTTTCCATGATTAAGTGTGGAATGCAGTCCAACCCCCTCTTTCGTCTCCTTTATGTACTTCTCTCCTTCTTCTTTTTTTTTTTACTTTAATCATTTAATCAGACATATATACAGTATATATATAATTTTTTTTTTTTTCAGTGTGAATACATGGATATAATCACAAAATGAGGTCTTTGGAGATGCTGTGTTCCATGACTGGAGTTTGCGTGGTTGTTATTTTCACAGTTTCCATGATTAAGTGTGGAATGCAGTCCAACCCCCTCTTTCGTCTCCTTTATGTACTTCTCTCCTTCTTCTCTCAGACAGACAGATAGATAGATAGATAGATAGATAGATAGATAGATAGATAGATAGATAGATAGATAGATAGATAGATAGATAGATAGATAGATAGATAGATAGGTTTCTGTCATCATGAGTAAACAAACTCTGAATGGCAGGAAATTTAGTGCACATGAGGAAACAGGGTTTGTCTGACAGCTGGTCACACGCCCTGGGCGGTGCCAGTTTAAGTTCAATGACAGATAACTAGTTGGTGTGATAAACTCTGACCACACAAATGTCCTCAGTGATGCATAACAATCGGAAAGAGCATTTGTACAAAATCCTTGTCATCGGTGATTTGGGAGTAGGGAAGACCAGCATCATCAAACGGTATGTGCATCAGACGTACTCCACTAACTACAGAGCGACCATCGGGGTGGATTTTGCGCTCAAAGTTCTCAACTGGGACACAGAGACGGTCCGGCTGCAGCTGTGGGACATCGCAGGTAAGAGAAAGTAGGCTATAGCAGTGTGTCAAAGCCAAGACATTTGCGTGTCAGCATTTATTTAAAAATATGCTGAAAAGCAAGATGGCAAAAAGTGCTTTGTTTTTAAGTAGCACATAACAACTTATGGAATTTAGTCACTAAATATTCAAAAACAATTACCACGTTAACCATAGATTCAGCCAAAATGTAAAGTTACAGTTACTACCACAATAAAGCTGAAAGGGTTAGCCAAAAGTGTCTTTAAACAAACACTTAAAACATAAACTGTAAAAATATTAGTCATTTGAATGGAAAACACTAAGTTATCTTACCATATAGGTTATATATATATATATATGTATGCCTTTTTTAAAAGAAATGTAATTTCATTGCATTGGTTTTATCATTAAAAGTCTTAATTTGACTACATTATGACTTACTAAGAATTTATTCATATTATTTAATAAGGCATAATTTATAAGGTTTAATGTAAAATATTATTAACATTATAATTGTTTTTATAAGCATAAATTAAGTATTCCCTGGCGTGACCGTGTTTGTTTAGATTAACGAAAACATTCAACAATTTTTATTAGCTTAAACAAACAATTAAATATGTTGTTGACATAGTAAGTTTGGAACTTTAAAATATATCCACCAACATGCTTAGTTATAACGTTGATTAATTAATTAATAATAAATAACAGGGTAACCACAAACCGTTTTACCATTTACAAATGGTACCATGGGAATTAAACTAATAAAAAATACATTTTAGGACATGGTATCAAGGTAATACTGTGTTTTGTTTGTTTTTTATATGTACTGTGGTATTCTTTGGAGTGCCATGTAAATACATATATATATATATGAATTTAATATATAAGTGTAATAAATTCATTCCACAGCTGAAAGTGTCAGGAGAGTTACAAGATTAATTTGTTGGTCATATGATCTCAACATGGCAGCCACCATTAGCAAGGACCACCTATATGTACAATAAAATAGCTTTTCTATCCCACTGACAGCAGTCTAACAAATATTAGCAGTCTAACTTGTATTGTCAGAGCATTTAGTGCTTGATTAAAGCTTCTGATTGAAGGTTATTTATATTTGCATGCTAAGTAGACCTGCTACTCACATGCAGAGCAGTTGCTGAGGGAAATGGGAGAATGGACCGTTGGAACATTGGGGCATCTCATTAAATCCAATAGAGAGGTTTCAAAGGGATTTATTTATTTATTTATTTCAGGACCTCTGTCCATTCATCCTTATTGAAGAGTCCAATCAGTCTTAAATTAACCCCCATCTAGTAGGATTTTCATGGGTTTTTAATAATTCATTACTGTTCCCAGGTCAAGTTCAATGGCAGATCCGATCAAACACAGTCCTATTCCCGAATGATCAAACCAAACATCTGAAAATCTGAAACCTGGTCGTCAAAAAATGTTTCATGTATGTTCTTTCTCTCAAAATTTTAGGAAAACATCAACATTAATGAAGCTGCCAACTTCCTTGTGAAACACATAATTGCCAGCGAGAATGATATCTTGAAATCAGTGGTTCCAGATACCATCTCTCCTCAGCTCAACTCTGATAAAGAAATGACCTGTTCTGCATGTTTCAAACCCTGAGAGAAGATGGCATAAATCTATGGCAGCAGTATTGGTTGTCCTTGGACTGAAGATGACGTAGATCTTCACACCCTCATCCCTCCAATTCCAGCACTATGGTCAACCATCGATAAGCCTCAACCACCACAGAGATCTGTCCGTTAGTTACAGCATTAAACTACAGACACTTTAAACTTGCACACAAAGTAAATGTATTTATGTTTGAAGCTGCACTTTTTATTTTTTTGGTCTTTTTGTGCTATGTCTAACAAAAACCTGGGGAGTTCTGGACTGGCATGCTTGACTGAACAAGGTGAGAGATTATAGAACTACTTCTGTCAGACACACAGGCAGATGGCTGAATATGCTTTCAGAAACAGGAAAGTTTTATCAGTATATACACCATAATATAGTTATTTCTGGTTCTGGTGGACTGAGTTTTCATTTTGAATAACCCCAGTGTTAAATGAAAAATAGCATTATACTTTTTTTTGACTGTCTTTAATGTGCAACACCCCTGTTAAGACATTTTCAGAAGTGATTTGCATCTGCATTTCAGCTATATTCCTGATCTAAAGTCACAACATTTTTTAAAGATGCCATAAAGTTGCTTTAAGAGCAGGTTTTTTTCCACTTTGACATTTTTACTTTTGAAACAGGAGGTTTGGGTTACACA